AGCACTTGTTATAACAGAATCTGGATTAAATCCTATACGCATGGCATCTATTTGTGAAGCTGATTTTAAGACTTACAGACATGGAAACATACGTAAGCACTTGTTATAACAGAATCTGGATTAAATCCTATAGGCATGGCATCTATTTGTGAAGTTGATTTTAAGACTTGCAGACATGATTTCTACTACGGAATTATTTGAAACCTATAGGCATGATTTATAGCATGGTGAGATAAACATGACAAGATGTAAAACCCTATAAGCATGATTTCTACTTGGTAAGGCAATCAGATTAAAATGTAAGGTCCTACAAGCATGATTCTACCCGTATTACCCCATAAACATGTAGCTACCCATCCCTTTCACTAATTTTCCCAATATTTATTTACAAGTTATTACAGACCATATGAATGAATTACATAAGTAAATAAGAAAATAAGAAGCTATTCAATAGGGAGCCTTCAATTAGGTCTAGATTTACAAAGCCTCCAATTGCCTCAAATTCCCCAATTCCATAGACAATGTCATAGTCTATGTGCATCAAAGTTCCCTAAGGATCTCAAGGATCCCGGGCAGTGCTTACACCTTGACTTGGTAACCAAAATGAATAAGTGCAGTGTGGAAAGGGCCAGCCTCAGCATGCTAGAGTTCAGAGGGTTCTCAAGGGGATCCCAAGGCAGTACACATACTGGAGGGGGCAGAACCTATTAACCTAGGAGTAGAGTGGGAGTGCTTGACACAAGTTGAAAGGTTTTAATGGAAAAAACTATATTAAAAAGGAAGTTTGCTTGAAAATAATTCAGTAAAACAACAGAGACAGTTTGAAAAGATATTGGAGCAGTGAACAAAAGTCCAAGCACAACACCATTAAGATAGGTTCATACACAGCCAGGAGTCACAGAACCAAAGCAAGTTCACTAGTCACAAACAGCAAGGTCGAAATTATAACTCGTTGTGAATTCAAACGAGGTCGAACTTCTCTTTGGTGAAGGTCGATGGCTGTATGGGTGTTATTGCGAGCAAGGTCAAAATTATAACCCGTTGTGAATTCGAGCAAGGTCGAACTTCACTTTTGGCGAAGGACAATGGCCGTAAGGGTATTATTTCGAGCAAGGTCGAAATTATAACCCGTTGTGAATTCGAGCAAGGTCGAACTTCTCTTTTGGCGAAGACCGATGGTTGTAGGGGTGTTATTTTGAGCAAGGTCGAAATTATAACCTGTTGTGAATTCGAGCGAGGTCGAACTTCTCTTTTGGTGAAGGTCGATGGCCGCAGGGGTGTTATTTCGAGCAAGATCGAAATTATAACCCGTTGTGAATTCGAGCGAGGTCGAACTTCTCTTTTGGCGAAGGCCGTAGGGGTGTTATTTCGAGCAAGGTCGAAATTATAACCCGTTGTGAATTCGAGCGAGGTAGAACTTCTCTTTTGGCGAAGGCCGATGGCAGTAGGGGTGTTATTTCGAGCAAGGTTGAAATTATAACCCGTTGTGTTATTTCTGTTGGGGAGCATTACTTGTCACCGTGTTGTTTACGCGTGCGTCAGGGCAAGTCATAGTTTGCTTAACTTTCCTTTTACTGGAGAGTACTGTGCGTTTCCTGGGTGAGTCCCAGTTCGCTCAATTTTGTACCGATCCATTTCTGTTATTTGTGATACGCTGCGACTTAGAGGGTTTTGCTCGATCATTACTTGCGAGATGGCATGCTACAAAGCCATTTCCTGGGGTGTTTCGGCAACGTTGGTCCCTCGCTGGCGTACCTGTGCGAGTGTTCGTATTCCTGTTTCGATCCAACAACAAAGTGAAGATAAACCCAAATGAAATTATCAGTTACCTCGGCCTAGCAAGCTGGTGAAAGGAGGGGCAGCGTTGTAGGGTTACTCGGTCCGCCTAGTACTCGGGTAGTGGTTTCTGATTTGGCAGCCATATTTAGCTTTGCTATTTAGCTACATCTAAACTTCTCGTGAGTTGGGCTTACCTCACCCGTTGGGACACCGAGGCCGAGTCCCAGTCCGATATGCGTAAACAATAAGGGAAACATGTCATGCTTTGTTTATAAATCATCTAGCGTGCATGATACGAAAATAATGCGGGACATGCCTGATCTTCCTAAGGATCATGCAGTAGGTTATCATCCCTTCCCAGGGGTGAAAGTATATGTCGGTATACACGGTGAATACCTCGCATGGGATCGCGGTCATGCCAAGCACATAGTGATCGTGGTTCTACTTCGATCATGCATATGACTTGCTAAACCCACCATTACGGGTTGGGTATGGGTCTCGTATAGACATCGGTCATAATTTTTATTTTGTGTTGGGAACTGACCTAGATTGATACGGTTATTTCAAAAACTTATCTACCATTCTTTCCAAGTTGGCGTTGTCACCGAGATGGTGAGGTTGTAACTGCCTGGAAGTAATACTTGGCTGGTTCTAGATCTAAATAAAACTAAAGAATTTGGCTAAGAAATCCCCACAGACAGCGCCAAATTGTTTGACCAAAAAGTGTTAAGCCTTTTAGTTAAACCAATTAATGATAAAGTAGAGAGCAAATCTTAGCCAAACATAATCGGCTTTAGATCTAAGCATATTGGATACTAAAATCAAAGAGATCGAGTTTATGCAACATTTCTTAGGATGATTGAAAGATATTAAATGTAAATAATAAGCTAAGCTTACATCTTTGATATACTGTTCCGTATTTGTAAAAGCAAAGAAGATTAAGAGGAAATCTCGTTGATAGCCATGAGATCTAGCTTTATTGATTCAACAATGGAGATTACAAAGGTTCGTAACCCAATATCTATACTTCTTCCTTTGTTCCTTGGAGGTCTCTCCCGCGTCTTCTGTTTCTTCTCCTTATTGCCAGCCCCCCTTCTTTCTGCTTTTCCCTCCTTATATATATTGTCAATTTCCCCTTTTACCCAATGGTTCTTAACTAGCGTGCCCTCTCATGACTACATTCCTCCTCACTCACCCCAGTGTAATGTTCTGCTGTGTAAGACTTCTGATGGCTCGATCTCGACAGTGGCCGAGGTACTCGTCGCCATTACGCCTCGTGGGCACGACCATGGCTTGGTCGACCCCTTACCATTCCCTTTAATGATAACCATCTGGTGGTCGGATTTTGACCCATACAAATACCACACTTGATCGAATACATATAAAATTTTCAAGAAAATGAAGTTAACATGATCTTTATAATGTATCAATAAAAAGAGTAATATCATCATATCTAAAAAAAATTATATCAAACCCCACATAAGTTTAAACTATTTATATACTAGATTTTTGTTGCACAATTGTGGATTAAATTTGTATCCATTAGGGGTCGTTTGGTTGGGTGTACAAGAATAATGTTGAGTATATAGGGTGTATTACTAATGCAGAGATTAGTAATGCAAACATTAGTTATGTAGAGGATAACCAAATAGGATATATAACTGATGCTTGTAATAGTTATATATAAGTTGAAAAAATGTACCAAAAAGATATTATTAGTACACAAAGCTAATGCATGCATTACTTTCTCTAATGCACTCTACCAAACGACCTCTTAGAGTACTATTAGTAGTATTACTATAATAATATTTGTTACTCCATTATTATTGAAAGACCTTTTGATTATGTCTCATTTACAGCTGACAGACTGTAGTCACACCCTTTGGTAGCTAAGAATATATTAATTGAAGTATACATTATGTTGATTGGCTGCTACTGTATAATACTAACATAAATACTTTACTCAGGACCCCTCCCTCCCTTGTTACATCAAAAGAGTTGACCTAAAGATATAGACATCTCTATTACTCTTCGTTTCACTTTTTCATGGACCGGTTTATAGAAATATCCTGCTACATAGAATAAAACTCACCGCTTAATCAGTCAAAGCGAAAATATTGGATATAGATTTGATTGAGACTTGAAAAAAAAGTTAAATTATATTCAAAAATAATTTTTGAAAATTAAAGTGGTGTTTCGACATGCATTTTATTTGAAGATAAGTTGAAGTTTTACGAACGAAAGAAAAATTTTCACTCAAAAACTGTTTTAAATTACTTTTTGGGAATTTGAAAAGAAATTTTTAGAAAAATTCAAAAATCGATCATGTTTCATAAACAAATAATATTTTTAATTCTTTTTTTTTTTTTGAAAAAAAGTAGTCAAAATCTGTGGCCAAACTGAGCTTATAATGGAAAAAGATATGTTTATGCACATAAAATCTTTTAGAAATTTTTTCTAAATCTGAAAGAATATTTTACCTTAATAGAAAAGAAAAGAAAAAGAGAATCAAATACTAATTATAAAAAGGATAAAATTGAGTTTAATATCTGTAAGCTGACCACAATGACAAAGTTAAGAATTCTAAAAATATAAGAATATCACTAAACAAGATTATAAGTTTGCAACATAAAATCTAAAGTAATTTTCTAATTACTTTTGCTATACACTAAAGTTTTTCTTATGCTAAAGAGAATCAATAATCTAAACAATTTTGTTTTGACTTTTTTTTTGCGTTATTATTTTTAAATAAAGAAAATCAAAATCCATTTGAATCATTTAGCTCCCCTGTTAATTGACAGATTTATTATGCTTTCATGTCATCTAAAAATAACAACCTACAATCATCCATAATAGGTGAAATTAATAATGTATAATCTAAGAAGTAATGAATAAAAATTAGGTGCAACAAATTAAAATACTATAAAACTCGTAAAGAATATCTAAATTATCAAGCTTATAAGTGAAATCCGATTAAAGATAATGAAGTAGACTAGAGTAGGGTTAATTAGGGTCTGTGATTCTTGCCCGTTGTGATCACAGCCACTTATGTCCACGTCCATTGATTGGTCTGTGATACAAAAATTACTGAAATGGCCGTAAATTTGTGTTTCCTCATTTGGTATTAGTATGATAGATTTCTTGGTTGGATTGAAATTGAAATTTTTACGAAAAACCTTCTTAATTATGGGACGGTCAGAAAAAAGTAGAGCGTGTTTTCCGGTGCAAGGACGAATAAGCAAAAGCTGATGCCAAGCCACGTGGGTAATTCTCAGCCGTTCGATTACCATGCAAAGGTCACGATTACTTCCTTGTTGATGAGATTTTATTGCCCAACTGTAAGAGAACTGTAGAAAAGAAGTGGCAATATTTTCTGTTCCAAGAAAAATATTAGTGTGAGAAACAGAAAGTGAATTAGTGTGTGTGAGAGAAAATTTAAGAGAGAGACAAGAAAGATGGTACTACTGTTGTATAAGTCTTAAATTGAAGGAAGAGGTAAAGCAGTAGTGCAGTGGCCATGGCGGCGTAGCAGAGCTGTGAATTTAATGCAAACCATAAAAGAGAAGTTCAACCATTTTCTTTTCCTTTCGTTTTCCTAAATATATTGTCCTACATAATTTTTCCTCAAAAGCTGCAAAGTTTTAACCATAACCCCAAAAAAATCCATTTACTTTGTCTTCCTCCCCCTAGTTATTCTCCTATTTTTAACTAGGTTGAAGAGGGTATGAATATGCTGTCAAAATTAAGGATAGACATAGAAGCTAGTAGTAAAAAATGTCTGGTTTTTTTACACTAGGTGGTGGAGGTGGAGGTGGAGGTGGAAATAAAGAACAACAACAACAAGAACAAGATCAATTAGCTACGAATAGTTTTCTTTTATTCAAGAACGAAGAGATCTACAACAAGGGTTTTGAATTATGGCAACAGTACTATCAGTTGCATCAACAAAGAGCACAAACCCCACAACATCAAGTGCAAGAGATGGATTTCTCAGTTGGTGTGGGACCCAGTAACAACAGAAGAATTATCAGTGGTAGTAGTAGTAGTAGTGGAAATAACAATATTGTCGGTGATGATAATAAACATAATTATAGTAATTCTTTTAGGGTTATGAGACCAACAGGGGGAAGTAGTAGTGGTGGAGTTGGGGGTATGAATTGTCAAGATTGTGGTAATCAAGCTAAGAAAGATTGTCCACATTTGAGATGTCGAACTTGTTGTAAGAGCAGAGGATTTCAGTGTCAAACTCACGTTAAAAGTACTTGGGTTCCTGCTGCTAAAAGACGTGAAAGACAACAACAACTTGCTGCTTTGCAACAACAACATAATCAACAACAACAACAAACTCAGCAGTTGTGTTTGAGAGCTGATTCTAATATTATCCCCAAAAGGCCAAGAGAAAACCCTAGCTCTTCTCTTGCTTGTACTCGTTTGCCAACCATCTCGTCGTCAGGTAATCAGAAACGGATTCAAGATTTAAACTTTATGAGGTCAACGTTGTGAACTTTCCTAAAACTACGAGTTCATACCATAATTTTTATACTACTAATCAATAAAGTTTTCTCGTTACTTATATTTTTGGTCTTAAAAAAAATGGTGGGATCGGTTGAACTCATCTCTTTAAGTATAGGAAGTACAATCATTTCTTGTTTATTTTCAAGGGAGTCATCAATGAACTTCAGGGTATTAATTAATTCACCTCTTTTTTTATTTTCAAAAAAATTTAAGACGCGTTAGAGGGCTTAATCAAATGTTTTTTAATGCTAAACTACAAAATATGTGGGGGAAGAAAAATCAAGAAGAACAAAAACCGTGATACACATGCTACATAGCTATTTTCATTATTCCTTGACCAACCCTATACTCCTTTATTTTTCTACTGTTTAGAAGTAAACTTGACGAAATAAAAGTTATTGCATTGTGGAGTGTTGTACTTCATTTTTTTTTTCTTGTGTTCTTTCAAGTAATAATGATAGTTCATTATTTGATTTGTACTAAGGTGCTTTTTGGACTGCTAGGGTTAGAGCTAGGTGGTCAATTTCCAGCAGAAGTGAGTTCTCAAGCAGTATTTCGCTGCGTAAAAGTTAGTGCAATTGACGATGCAGAAGATCAATTTGCTTATCATACGGCTGTTAATATTGGAGGCCATTTATTCAAAGGAATTTTATATGATCAAGGGCCAGAGGGTCGATATAGTGGTGGTGGTGGTGGTGGAGAGAGTTCATCAGGTAGTGGCGCAGCTCAACAAGCGCTGAATTTTATCACCGGCGCCACCACTTCCACCACCGCAACTGCCGCCACGAGTCACCAGCAACAACATGGTACAATGTTCGACCCTTCGGTATTTCCAACTCCTATTAATGCTTTCATGGCCGGTACGCAATTCTTTCCACAGCCAAGACCTTAAACAGAGGCGAATTCAGCATTTAAATTTTAATTATGCCATTTTGGCTTAGGGAAGGATTATTAGAGAGGCCATAGAATAATCTAATTCTTGATTTTGTTTTAACTTCATTGACATCCATTTAGTTAATGGGAAGGAGAAACAGAAGTTCCAGTACTTCTCCTTGAAGTAAGACATTGTTTTCTTATAGGATGTTAGTTTTCTGTTGGTATTTCAAGAATGACTTTTATTTTGTTATTATTACTAATTATTACTATTTGTTGATCTTATCAGTAACCTCCATTTTACTGTGATTTTTGTAGAACGAATTAGCTAGAGGAATGGTAAATCTGTTTCCATATGACATCAATCCGTAGAAGCAATCCCTAATGCTTGCATTAGGGTAGGCGGTCTACATTAGACCAGACCCCTTGGGATGCAGTTCTTTCCTGAATCTTGCGTGAATGCAGGATGCCTTCTGTATCGGGAGTCCCCTTTTTTTTTTTTTTTGAATATGTAGGAGAAAGTTTAATTTCTATATGTTATAAGGTCATTTTAAAAATAATTATAACTAATTGTTTATAATGTAAATTAGTAACTCAGAAAGCAAATCATCTATTAAAACAAGTTAAAATACATTGATAGTATACACAAAAAAAAAAAAATCACAGTATTACTGAATATAAGTTAAATCCTTAAGCAACATAGGTACTAGTATATATTTTGTGCTGCATATGGATGTGTGCATTTTTGCATATTCTGTGTTACATTCTTTTCTAGGTTTTTCTACTCTGAGTATGGATTTCGATTGTCTTTCTGGTCGGATTTGAACTCAATTCTACTTTTTCCCCAGCTTATCCGTCTGCTTGCCGGGTTATATAGGGGCGAAGTAGATATGTTTCGTGTCTGGTTGGGGCCAAGATTTTGTTTGTTTTTATTTTCCTTAAGATCTGTCATTTGCCCCTCACCATTCATTTACTTATATTTTTGGCTGTTGCCTGTTGGATTATGAGAAAAATGCATTGGTGACATGCACCGTTGACACCCATTTAATTTCTTCTATTCTGCCTCATTCCATAAGTCCGCCTTTCCAGGCTGCTGTCTTTTTTTTTTGGTTTAATTTTCTAGAATATTTAATGTGGTAATTTATAAAAACTAACATTATAAAGAATTTTTACACTATAAATATCTAATATTGTATAGTTAGTTAGTACAGATTATTTATTGCATCTTCAGGTTACCAAATTAGGATTAACTTATAGTACTACAGTATTTACCTTTTGTTATACATCATTTCAACTTCATAGTGTGGAAAATCCTCACATTGTCATTGCACATATGAGTTAATTAATAGTCTAATTTTCTTTAGACAATTATAACACATCATCACTCTGATTCTAGGTTATTATATCGAACTTGGTATTGAAAAATTACCTAATACACCATTAACAAGTTAAATAGGTCATTATAACCTAATATTGTATAAATTCCTTAAACAGTTGGGATCATTTAGCATGCGGACTAAATTATTCTGGGATTATATTCTTCAAATTATAATATGGATTAATTCATCCTGCTTCGGAGGTTGGATAAATTAATCTCAAGTTTAATGAGATAAGGTGGGATATCTAGGATTATGTCTTAGATTAAATTAATAAGTATTATATTTGGTTGACGGTATAAATATATCCTGAAATAAATTTGTATCGTTAACCAAACACAATATAAATTTAATCTCACACCTTATCCTGCGTACCAAACGACCCATTAGTATATGGAACATAAACTCATTTAGTTAAAATAGTTAGGTAGTGAAAACCAAAGAGAGAACTTAGTGTTAAGATGGATCCTTAAACAACTTTCAGTTCAAAAATGTTGTATGAGGAACATATGCATGTGATGCATATTATGATAAAAGTTATGATACTGGTAATAGAAGATGTAAATGCTGATAATACGTTTAAGGTACGGTATGTGACAGAATATGAGAGCAGCTTTTATCTATATATAGGCTACTTGATTTAGTAGAAGTGGAAGAGAGCTGAAAACACGGAGAAGCTTTCCCTTGATTCGAAAATCTCTGAAACTAAGTAGTACTCTTTATCTTTATTAGGGCAAACAGATTGGTACACTATGCAGATAAGTACTTTCTTCTGCTCTTTTATCATCTTTTTTTTTAGGTATCTTTCAAGCTTTCTTAACTATATATATCTTGAGACTTAGCTGTTTGCTCGAATTGTGGTAGAATAATAAAGGTTGAGAAATTATAAGTGATTATGCAAATAATTAAGTTGATATCTTTGAGGTGTAGTTGGTTTAGCAAGGCTAAGTCATATGGATTACTTTAACTTTTCTAGAACGGTTTTTTTATGGATTTAATTTATACGCATGGACTATGTAAAGATTTTTTAAAACTATCAATGTAGTTTAACTTCCTATCTGTATATTGCTTCTCTTTTACTATTTATGAGCCGATGATCTATTGGTAACATCCTTTTTACCTTCCTAAGTTAGGTGTAAGGTCTGCGTATACATTACCGTCCCCATACTTCAGCTGTGGATTTCACTGGATATGTTATTAATGTTGTTGTATTATTTTAGTGTAGTTTAACTTATTTTAGCAAATTAGAAAGTACTATTTCAGATAAATAATTAATCCAATAATATAAATTTACTTGTAATTCAATAATATAAATAATTAATTCATACTTTCATAGTATATTCTCATTTCTTTTTAAAAAAACTTAGTATTTAAATGTCAGAGAAGAACTTGGGAAGTACCATTGGTCATTGATGATGAGCATCCTTGTGATGATCTGTTAAGTACTTAGATGTCCCAATCAAGTTTATTCGCCCATTTTTAACTTGCTTTTCTTGTATACACTAGACAGTAGAATTTCTGTAATTTGTCAAAAAATAGTTTATTTCAGAGAGCTGGCAGATATATCGTGAGGAATAATAAATTGTTTGCAGATTTTAGCAACTCTTCTTGCTTAGACACGGTCAGTTTCTTTTCCTGCAACTGCGTGCTTCTAAGGTCCCCCAACATGCAGCTTTTATTTTTGTGGTGGTTATTATTGAGGGTAATTAAGATCGAGAGTTAAATGATATTTTGCAATTGAGCTGTCTTTTTGTGACCTAATCCTTATTGACGCCGGTGTCGCATGTGCTTGGTCGACCCAAAGGCACGGCCAAGTCCAAGACGAGAAGGACCGTCTTATTTTTAAACCTAATCTAAATACCTCACATTGAGTAGAGGGATAATTATGTACTGTTAATAGCATTAATTATTCAATATATTTTCATGCAAGTATAGGTTTAATGGAATGGAAAAGAAACTAAGGGGGCAGTTGCAAGTTCTTTTGCAGCTCTTATTTTTCCATGACATTATAAAACCAAGAAGATGCCCGTTAAAATTTTACTATTAAATTGCAGCTTACCCTCGAAATATTTTTTAAGTGGAAGACGTTAGTGCCAGAAAACCATAAAATTTAGGCATTTCCAAGTGTTTAGATGATTCAACAAGAAATAAAATAAAATAATGGTTGGGTGATGATTTTGCAACTGCATCACATTAAGCTCAAGGAATTGTTTTACACTTATATTTTATTGTTGTAGGTTTCTAGCCAATGCATAGGTCTAAATCCCAAATGAGATTTTGGCCCCTATAGGCATGCATAAATTTCTTAAATAAATAATTAACCAATTAATGTAATGTTTTTAATTTTGTCTGTCATATGATAATATAAAAGGCTAATATACGGAGAAAAAGCTACACTTTGTTGACCAGTTAAGTTTCTAGTGCTAAGATTCTCATTATATAAGAGAACTTAAGTAATATATGCATTATTAGTGTTAATGAATTTTTACACAGTCAAGTTATTTTACTTGTGTAGCAGGTAACTTGTCATCAAATATTTTAAGGAGGTTTATTATAGATAGATTCTGACCAGATCATATAAAAAGTTATTTATACCGATGTATATAATTAATTAAACTCTGTATAAAATTAGTAGAAATAAAATCCGCCCTATAATCAATCACACCTCGTGATCTGCCAGACTGAAACTTTTGGTAAGTTTTACTCCCTCCGGTCCACAATAAGTGACCAATTTGCTTTTTTATTTTGGTTCAAAAATAAGTGTCCATTTATATAATCAAGAAAAAATTTAATTTATTTTTCCAAAATTACCCTTATGTACGTATCCCTAAAAAGTCATTTACTCCTCACATTTGAGAAGAGAAGTAAGTACTATTATAACTATGCTGCAACATTTAATGAAGGGTAGTTTAGTCACACTAACTATTTTCGTTTAGAATTTAGTGTTTTCTTAATGAGTGTGCCCAAAGCAAATTGGTCACTTGTTGTGAAACGGAGAGAGTAGTAAATATGCTATCCGTGATAAGGTTTTTTATGGGGATTGGAGACCTATTGTCCCATTGCCATCATTCATTTTAGCTACCTGAAACTGAAGGAACTCGAGATTTTACAATCGTTTGAATTATATATGATAACTAATTGTCCATTTATGATATAAATATTAATAGAACAAAAGGAATAATGCATCATTTCTCACACCTATCACTACCATCCACCTTACTAGTAGTTGCGAATATCAGGTAGTTAACTTCATGTTGTAAAGCACAATAGATTAGTAATGAAAGGTACTCTAATTTTCTTCATTTTAATGAAACAAAAAAATCAGAAAAACTCTACAAACTAGGCAGCTAGGTCCATTGGGTTGCTGGCCAGAGGTGGATTTAGGATTTCAAGCTTATGGGTTCGGGATTCTAAGCTAGCGTTTGGACATAAATTTGGTTGAAACTTGAATAGTGTTTGAAGATGAGACGAAAAATGGTTTTTGAAAGTTGAAATTCTGTTTGGACATGCATTTTACTTGAAATTTTTTTGAAGTTTTATGAGTAGAACTTTTCAAAACTACTCTAGAGCTCTTTTTGGAATTTGAAGAATTTGTTTTCAAAATCTGCCAAAAAATAGTTAAGATCTATAAACAAATAGATATTTGTAAACAAAACTCCCAAATTTTAGGGCCAAACGGGAGCTAAATCTTTTAAGTTATTGGGTTTCAAATTAATAATTTGTACATATATATTTAATGAATTTTTAAGATAAATACAAGGTTTAAACTTTAAACTAAAGCGACTGAGTTCTGTGGAACCCATAGCTTCTGCTCTACCTACGCCTCTGCTGCTGGCTCACTAGGCA